CGTGGGATTCGAACTCTAGACCTGCCATCTGGGGGTGCGACAACTCCACCACTTCACTAAGTCGCCACACCCTCATACTGTATTATATATATAAATATATATACAGTATATCTTATATTATTTAATAAAGTATTTATATAATCTATGTTGTGCATATTGTATACTTGTGCAAAAAAATTTTTTTTTGCACTACATATTTGTGCCAAATTTTCAATACTGTATATAACAATACTTGTCTAAAAAAAAGAGAGTAATATTAATCAACATACTTTATAAAACAAAAAAACAAAAAAATACAATAAATAGAACCACCTCAAGCCAGACAAAAAATTAGACAAAATAGCAAAAAGATAAATAAAAACTAACAATATTATCTGAAAAGAAGAAAAGGAAGTTAAAATACTATATTTTACAGAAAAACAATAATTAGCAAATAGAGTTTATCTTAAATTCATGACAATGCTAATGATAAAATTACTTGCAGCTCTTCAAAAAATACTATATTAGTATACAAATATGTTAGAACAACTATAATACCAGAAAACTATACACTAAAGAATGACAACACCAAGAATAATAATATTTAAAATGATAATACTAATGATAAAATTACTTATAGCCTAAAAAAAATATTAATGTTAACATGAATTAAGATAAAAAATATGATACAAAAAAAATATTACTAATTATCATTACTGATTACACTATATATAATAAATTTAAATTTTTTTTTATATTATAAACCTGCAATACAATTTTGTTTTACTATAAAAAAAATAAACTTTTAATAGTAAATATTAACTACTTTGATTAATCAAAAATAGTTATATATATCTACTAAATTATTAATTTCTAATTGTTATTTTTATAACCTGGCTAGGTTATGAAAAACAGAAATAATATTTTATATAGCCTAAAGCTAGTGAAGCCTACAAAAATAAAAAGATATTTAGATTAGTATTAGTCACTTTTATAAGTTCAGTAATTTGAATTAGAATTGGACTTATATATAAATTCTAATTGAAATTTATAAATTCAATATTTCAATTTATAAATATAGTTTAACAAAATTAGTTTAATTGCCTAATTCTGATTTAAATAGTACCAATATAGCTAGAATTAAAAAATATTATATAATTGTTTTCATGACCTGGAGTATACCAGAACAATTACCAAAAGTTTAATCAAGTGATAAGGCACCATAGCCACAGTATAATTTCTTTAAATCTATATACAACTTTATTGTTATAAAAATTTCTTATATAACAAAACAATATGTATACTACTAGTTTTTTTTTTTTTTTTTTTTTTTTTTTTGGCGTTAAGGTGACCTTTATGGCCGGGGACTTTTTATTAAACTTATTAACTTTAGGTTATATAGTTACAACGAGGGTACATCAAGCCACACGTATACTTTTGGTACCTAATTTAAGTGGTCCGCCTGGGTTCTACACTAGCCGCCATACCTGCAACCTAACTAGGTGATTACCTATTTAAGCTCTCTGATTATTACTAATGAGAGTACGACTAGCTATACATGCAACTTTTGGTTGCCTATTTAAGTAGTCTTGTATACTACTAGTTATTAATATATATATAGCTATATATACTACAAAAATAGTTTTTTAAAAATAGCCTATTTCATCTTTACTAGAACAAATTAAAATTTTTTATAAAAAAGAGCAAATCTAATTTATATATTTATATTTCTTATATCAAAAAATTTTGTTTTTTATATAAAGGTAAATCAAACCAATTTCATCTTCAAATTTTAATTTTAGATTTTAGAACCCGAAATAATTTCATCCTCATCTATATATATAGCTATAGTGTCTTATTACCTAATTGGACTTTTGGTAATTACTAGCACACTCTATTAACCTGAATTATGACTTAAATAAATATTTAGATTATTATTTTTTAACCCGGATTAAAGCTCTAAGTATGAGGATTATTGGATTATCTATTTATAAAATAATATATATAATTAATATTAAGTTTAATTATTTTTTTTAAATTATTTTTTTCTTTTTATTCATTTACACCTATTTTTTCATGTGTAAATACAATTATTCTATGTAAATTCAAATACTTTCTTAAGTTTAATATTCTAGTATCAGGTATAAAAATAGTTTTACATTTATCACAAATAAGAACAGTTGGGATAAAAAAGATAATTTGAATTATAGATACTAAAATATAGCCATACTGTAGATGGGTTGTTTTTTTTTGATTTTTGATTATTCAATATTGGAACTTTGGCAATTTTATTATTAGAAGTTAAAATATCAATATTTGATTTATTAAAAACTAAAACTCATTAATTAAAGAGCCACTTATACTAATATTATGCATTTATATATTTTGTGAAATGTTAGAAAACAAGTAAGAGAACATCCATAATTTACGTTAAACCAGTACAGTATTGTATAAAAATAAAGACTTTGAAGATAATTTCATATAGTATTATTTTTGTATTATCTTTAAGATCCCTATAACAATGCCGGTTTAACATAAATTATGGATGTCCTCTAATAGATTTTTATTATCGTTTATTGTTGGAAAGAATAAAAAAAATCACATTATTGTTTATTTTTCTTTTTATTAATTCATTATTTTTTTTTATCAGGATCATTGTTTGAACCAGGACCGGACCATTACGGACCGGGACTGAAAATCATTCTCCGGTCCCGGTCCCTACCCGATCTTCTGGTCACATAATTCAGTAATTGATCGGCATATACCAGATACTGATATAGAACGTAAGTTTCGACTGACTGATGAATTAAAAAAAAATGACAAATGTAGTGACCAAAAAATTCTGGATATTCGTTAAGAATACCCCAAGAGTGACCGCTGTAAAGGTTCCGATTACTGAAACAGCAGAGACCATAATTACGGCTGCTCAATCTAGATATGGACCAGAAATTTCTCAATATCCCTCGATCGAGTTAACACTTGTTGACAGTGAGGGTAAAATTGTTGATCCTACACTAGATATTGTGGACATTTCGAATGAAAACTCACAGGATAAACCATTTGAAATCAAAATAATTGATAGCGAGGGTAATTTTGTGGAACATGAAGGTAAATTTAGATTTAATATCGATATTTGCAATGAATTGTGGTAGCTGATGCTGAAATTGGTCGATTTTGAAAATTATTATAAAATAAGTTCATAAACTTCGTTCTAAACAATACCGATTAAATAACTAGAAAATGAAATAAAATTCTTAAAAGCATTGAGTTGGGCCAGTTAAAGTTAAAAAATAAGGAAATTGATGGTTTGAACAATCAAACATTCCAACTTAAAACAGGGAGTCATGAACTTGAGAATAACTATTACAAAGCGGTCTGCTTCCAAGAAGAACGCTGAGAATCGACTGTGCGAGCTTCATGACCGTAACAAAACTCTTAAGTTTCTAATGCACGTAAACATAAGAAATTGAAAATATAATTGATGATCTTTAACATATTCAAAAATGAAGAAATATGAAGCAAATATGGTTAAAATAAAGAACCTTCGAGGAGAGTCGAAAATAATAAAAGAAAAGTTAGAGTTTGCTTGAGAGTTAATAATTGAGATGTAAGAGTATATGTTGAATTTACAATATACAGATTTATATAGAGATCCTAAAATTTCAGCGTCAACATAAGCTGCCACATTAATTGCCGATAATAGTTCTTTTAAACTTTTTCAAAAATATTTAGACGTTCAAATATTCGTATTCGTAAAAGACATATACGATGGTATTTATTACCCTGCAGCCTCAATATTCCGAAATCAATATGAAGTCGACCAATTCCTTGGCTTAAACCATTTCCAATTAGTTGATCGTCATGGAAAGCGAACTGATACTTCAGTTTTAACTCGTCGGTACAAAGATCTTGTTCAAGATTCATATTATATACTCGTGTAAGGAAATATACATTTATTATCATGAGAATTCTTGGAAAAGTATAGTAGATTGACGACTAATGTATTCAAAATAAATATTTTAATAAATCTGTATGTTACAAAACAATTAGTTATTTATTTTCTACATATATATCATATTATCTAACATGTCTTGTTCGATATCATATACATCGTCACATGAATCTTTCTTAACTTTGGTGTCCAATACTTTATCCATGGAAATTTTCACATCAGGTACAATTTCTTTTAAACCCTCAACCAATAATCTTAAAATTCCAACCTTCGATTCATAAGAGACAAAAGTTAAACAAACAGTGTTGTAAAATATGTTAATCAGAATCTGATTTTGTTAATTACCTCATAAACATGACTACTATTCGATTTTCTTTCCCTTGCACCAATTTTCTTTCCGGGGAATACCAAGCATCTTGTCCGAATTTTTTCAACTTTCAGCAGCGTGATCATTGTGTTGAAGAAATGATCCCGCAATTTGAAAGTTGGTGATAGCTTCTTTAATTTTTCTTAATAAAATTTAAATAAATAAAAAATGGTTTATTTAACAAAAATCTTTTTAAAATGATTAAATGGTAATAACATTAATAATATATACCATAATTTTTTGCCTCATTATCTGGTAAACAACCCAGATATACACTTTCGTCATTTATCGAAAAGTTTATTGATGAAACTATTATCACATCATTTACTTCATTTTGGCAAAATAGATTGATTAACGCGTCTGCTAAATATACTATCTTGTTTTGAGGTGGTAACTCTTGTATTTTCACGAAACTTTTCTGTTTATCAAAGAATTTCAATATTAAAAATTAGTATTTTAAAATTTGTGAATGAAATTTATAAATTTAATGTTTAAATGCTTAACGTCTTTGGTATTATCTATTTTTATTTCAAGTTTTTTTCCTTCATTATCAGCATCGCTCGTATTTTCAAACATATTGAATTGATATGTTTGGTGCTCAACGATACACGTCTCTTCGACTCCAGAAACTACATATAAGCCAGAACTATTTATATCTGAATATCCGAGTATAACACTTTGCTTTAATTTTATGTCCATTTTAAAAAGTGTGTTGAATTAACCATTTATGAATTTGTAAGTCCTTTACTTTTCCATGAACTACTCCAAGAGCACCACCAAAAATTTTCGGTTACACGAATTTTGGCCAATAGAATTAGTAGATCGCCACATACTTTTTTACAACTTCGAAAAAAGATATCTCGACAACCGCCAAACAAAATTTGATGAAATTTTTATTTTAATTAAACAAGAATGTGAAATCACAATAAAAAAATTTCATCCAATTTAGATTTGTGGTAGTCGAGATATCTTCATTTAAAGTTTAGAAAAACTATATTACGACGAATTTTAATAGTTTAATTTGTTGATAAACTTTAAACGAAGATATCACGACAACCACCAAACCGAATTCGATGAAAAAATTTTTATTTTGATTCTATATACTTAACTTGCTTCAAGATACTCGTAATAATTCTCCGATATATGAGTCCTTATTCGAAGAATTTATTAATCATGAAGATT